ACTCGCTGGCACTTTTGTGTTTCTTTTATTTTGGGTCAGAGTGCAAACTGGATTTTGTGTTTGATTTGGTTTATTTTTTACCTTTGGATGATGTACTATTGGGCTGACAACTCTCCCTAAAGTATCTGTGTTTGAGTGATTGCGGTTTTTCTAGCCCGTGCATTTGCTTCGACTGGTCCCATTTCTAGTCCTCCTCACTCCGACTAGTCCACCACAAAAAAATCTTGACCAGAGTCCAAGTTTTTAAACTCTAGTCGGGTGCAGTCTATTCATCCCGGTAACATCGTTCCTGACTCGCACGAAACTACACCACAAAAAATCCCGACCAGAGTCTAAGTTTTTAAACTCTAGTCGGGTGCAGTATAGAGCAAGTGTTTAGATATCAACTTGGGTCGGTCTGTCTAGCCCTACTTCAATTGTTGAAATCATTATCTAGCAATAAAGTTTTGGTTTGAAAGTTTGCTAATTATAACAAAATAAAGCAAAGGTAAATGGGTTCAAAAACTCTTTTGTGGAAGGATGACCCGGGTGTCGCTTCCCCTAACTACTACCATGATATGTGAATTGGAACGATTGTTTTGGGCAAGGTAATCGCGAACTACTGAGGGATGCATATGTGGTCGGGGACCACAATCTCAATTGCTATTTGCTTAAATCACGATTAACCTATTTGCTTAATTCAGCACTGAGGGTTGCCCTAAATTAACCAGTTAGGTGGCTTAAAAGCTGAAGGAAAACCAACTCGATTGAGTCTCCCTTGGAGTTAAGGTGGATAATTAGATTGCTAGCACCAACATGCACAAACCTAAGGGCGCTAAGCACAATTATGCACAATCCTTAGGTTGCTAAGCACAATTATGCACAATCCTTAGGTTGCTAAGAACCAAAATGCACAAAACCTAAGGATGCTAAGCACAAAACATGCACAACCCTTGGATTGTTGAGCATAGGATGCACAATCACTCATGAAAAATACCTCAATCGTTGAATTATACAATACCCAATTACAATCATTCAATTCACATAAAAGAAACTACATGGTAGAGTTAGGGTTTCACAACACCCAAGTGAAAGGAGATCTACTACATGCTAGAAATGGGGAAAACACAAAGAGAAGAAGAGGAAACCATCTTGGAAGATGCTCCCAATCTCCTTGGCCCTTGTGTTGAGCTTTCATTGGAGGAAATCTTCCCAAAATCCACTTTGAAGCAAAACCCTAGACTTCTTCTTCCTTGGTTCGTGTTTCTCTCTCTAGAAATCTTAAGAAGGCTTTTCACACAAAGTGGGCTCTCCCCTTTCTCCTCCTTTCAGCTCATCATTTAAACCAGAGACGAGCTCAGTTCACGGCCGTGAACCACGAAACGCGTCTGTGAACTGCAGGCGTGCCCCAAAATGCACTGCTTCGATCTCTTTTGTTCACGGTCAACAGCCTTCGGTCACGGTCTTAGCGACCGTGAACTCACTTTGCGTCAGTAACCTCTGTTTTGGCTCTGGACGCCTCGCAATTCAAGGTCAAGGGATCTTCTTCACGGTCATGCAATACCGTGAACTTCCTTGGATAGCCATGAACTGACCCTTTTCACATCTTCTTCCGGTTTTTCGATCCTTTTCGCCCAACTTTCGACTCCGAGGCTAATTTCACCTGTTAAATCCTGAAACAGACTAAAACATGAGGAACCTAGCGTAAAACAAACCTTTTAGGAGTGAATTTGGCACAAACACCTAAGTAAAACGGAGGCAAAACATGTACAATAAGTCCCGAATCACTTCCCCTTATCTTTCCCTCTTCTCCATCGAGGGCAATGTCGAACTTAAGTGTGGGGGGGTGTTTCTATTTGACTGCTTCGATCTGTTTGTATCCTTGGAGCCTAGTCCACTGTCCAAATTTCGATTTGAGAGCTCCAAGCATGTGTTCCTTGCAATTGTCTGCTCAGTATGCTTTGAATTGACAGTCTTTATAGTAATATGCAACCTAGGGAGGTAGTGTAGCACTATGGAGGATGTTGATTCATTTAAGAAGTCTCCTTTTTTCTTCATATTGTGTTGGTTGATTGTGTGAATCAGGGATCTTAGGACCTTTGAATTGTGTGGTATTGTGGACTCTCTACCTGCCATGGACTCCTGTATCATGTTTTGAAATATAAAAGGTTCTCTAAAATGTGCTTTCAAATAACGTCTCCCGTGCGAAAAGGGCGAAAGGGTGTAAGGGGGAGACGAGAATCTGTTCCCAATTTCCACCTACTACCTCCAGCCCCCTTACATTTCTTTACCCCGCACAAGGCTCGAGACGTCCGCTCCTGGTATGGCCGGTAAGGGCCAGGGTCCCTCAAAACCTTCAATAGGTGGGAGCCTCGTTTTATGAAAATAACAGGTTGGGGCGCTTTAAAAAAAAGATAACAAAACAAAGGAAAAAAACAAAGACAAAAAGGGTTCTAACCATCTTCAAGAAGAAAATAGAGCACCTTAAACAAAAGTGAGTCCATGATCTTTCTGTTTTTGAGAGTCCCTTCGTCCACGATTCATTTGTCCTCTGATCACTATTTTCCATGATGCCGACTCGAGACTAGCGTTCTCGCCGAAGAAGCTAGGAGATGACTTGTGTGTCGGTTGACCTCGTAAGCTGCTAAATGATCTAGGAAATCCTCTACTAACGATCGGGGTTGCATGTTGCTATAGAGGTCTGGAAAGCTACATTGGTTTGAGTTATGTTTGCTTGGGGAAAAGCAAACGATTAAGTGTGGGGGAGTTTGATAGAGCATTATTTGCACATGTTTTGACCACCATTCTTGAACCGTTTGAAAGTCGATTCTCACATTTTAGGCCGATTTCACGCTAGGTTGTTCGTTTATGTCATATGTCAGGACTTGACATGGATATGGAGGCGTGGAAACGAGTTTTGGGTCGAAGGTTGGAAATTTGGAGCTAGAGGAGTTGCCAGGCAAAAATACCCGGTCAGGCACTAAAATACCTGATCGGGTATATGAGAAGGAGGCGACCAGGTAAAAACCATTATGGAGACCAAGGAAGCAGAAGGGGTCCCGACCAGGAAGCTTAAATACCCGATCGGGTATTCTGAACCTCGATCGGGTATTAACCCCTTCCCCTGTGCACAGCGTTTTAAAATACTCGGGCGGTCACCTGAAATACCCGACTGGGTTTTAAGGCCGGGTATTGCGATCTGCCCCTTTTGAAGGGAGGAAAGCCTCTTTTGAGGGGGATCCGATTTTAGACAAAGAAGGAGAAACCTAGAGAGAGTGACGAACAGAACTTCCAAGCGCTCTAAATCGATCTTCAACACCATTGAAGCTCTGTTGAAGCTTGGAGAAGTGCCGATTGATTACCAGAAGCTGCTTATCGTCCTTCACAGAATGATTTCCGCATCTGAAGATGATTTCTCTTCTCTCTCTATGGAGGAAACTCTCTCACTCACATGGGTATGAAGAACCTAGATTTGTATGTTAGGTCTGGTTGTATGAACCCAAGTACATGTTTTTTTATATTGATTATATACAATTGAGGCATGATTTTCTGAATCGCATGAATCCTGATCAAATTCATGTAGTTCCTGCTTTGACCTAGAAGGAGAATATCTGCCTAGGTTAATAGAGCACCCTTAATTGAAGGTAGTGAATTGACGACTTTAGTCGAGGAGTCGATTTACTATTCTGTACTGGAATTACTCTGGTAGAGGAGGTTTGCTACGTTAGGGCCTCGGTCTGTTTACTCCGGTGGGGGTTAGTAGCCCGCTGGGGATTCAGATTGAGAGGGTCTAGAGACCTTTAGTCGAGACTTCAGACTGTCCAAGAACCTTCCGCGGTATAATTATCATTGAAACTGGACTGGGTGAATTACAACTTGGCTTAACTGCAGTCTAGGGGGAACCATATCTGGGTGACCTCTCTCAAACTTGGAACACAACCTTTACTACTTTTGTTTGCTAGTTGAGTTGAAACTTCACTATAGTTGAACCGCTAAATTATAAGAATTTCATGGAGTAGTCATCACACCTAGGACCCGGGTTGACATTTAAATCTATACCAGCTATACTACGCATTAGTAGGTGGTTACACTTGGCCACTTTGTAGTGTGACAGTACAGGCGAGTCACCCACTCAACTTTAAAAGGAAGCCTCGATAGTGTTCTTGATAGGGTAGCTTCTTCATTTGGTGCAATGCCGACGAGTGATTGTGTCGAGGATGATTTGGTGGATGTTTTTATTAGAGTTCATTAGAAGTTTTTTGTTGCCATCAAGTGATTTTAGCAGCAAGGTCCAAGTATTTTAAAGAAAGATTATATTGTATGAAGGACTTTAATGATTGAAGAATGGGTTGCCAACGAATGGTCTTTCGTGCATTGAAGAACATGATTTAACCATGATAGTGTTCGAGAAGATGCTTGAGTATATGAAAGTACATTTGGAGAATATTTCTTCCATGATCAACCTACTAATTGTTGGTATCAATATATTTCCATTCAGGTGCATGGATGCCTTAATTGATATAGATCCAGATCAAGTATCTTTTCATTCTTGAATGTTCACAATTGTAAGCAAATACATTTGTTTGACATTTGCACTTTGGTGGCTTTGGACAGGTAGAAGAAATGTTTAAAGCTGCTTCTAGTTATTTGTTACCCTATAAGCTAAACCTAAAATGTCCCAATTCACATCCTTTTCACTTGATAGAACTACACGAGCAAAAAAGTTTCATCCAACAGTGGCAGAATCGTTATTGTGGCTTATTGTCACGTCATGTCAAAATTTTCTTATATACCTGTGCCTTCCAAAAAGAGTGTGTATCATATCTAAATGGGCTTCGATGTCTTGACATCGGATGTTCATGAATTTATCGATTTTCCAATCATGTAATTGGAGAATTTCGAATATCTCAAAATTTGAATAGCTTGTCACATGTATTCTGTTGATTTCTATATATTAGATTCATTGATAAAAGTGAAATTTGTGGCATACTTACAAACTTTGAAAGGGTTACTACTTGTTTGTAATTCAATGAGAAAGTGTAAAACGGTGCAAATAACCATAACTAGAAATACAATATAGACTTTGTTATTGATAAAGAATTTAGGCTATTGAATGGTGAATCATTCATTCCTAGATAGAATCATCTCATCTTTTACTACAACATTACAAAACCTTTTTCTCTTTCTAGTGGTCTTGAGAAAATATAACACTATAGAAGGAAAAGAGACGAATAAAAATGTATAACATCAAAAAATGTTGTAAATTGAAGTAATATTTATGTGAAAAGAAGAAAGAAATAGCAATTGAAGTAGAACTCCAGGGTGAACCTTTTTTTTTAAAGTGCTATTAAGAGGTTTCTTCAGTTTCATCTGTTGCAACATCTTCATCTGCAACTTCTTCTGCATGCTCTTCTGGTGCGGTTGTAGGAGCAGCATAGGCATGGTAACCCCCTCCATGCTTTCGATGCAGGCTCCAATACATTATGCTTGCAGTCAGTATTAAGATCATCTTCTGGTTTACCTGTAGGCATAGGAAAAACGAACAATGAATCAAATGTGTGTGGGAAGTCAGAAAAGGTTCAAAGAGCTATTGGATTACCTCCATTATGTCCTCAGGTAATAAGAAGATGGAACATCCAAGCTTCCTAGCAACACTAATTATATATGTCGCATTCATCTTCTTATCCTCATCTGCATAAAAAAAAGAATTAAGATTACCTTGGAGTTTAGTCGGTGAATGAAGAGCAAACTAGATGCTAAACATACCAGTTTCTCCAGCTCTACAGACTTCCCAATTGACCACCCTAGGCTCCACTGCACTGAGAAGCTCTAGGAAGAAAACCCCAGTAGCAAGGTTCTTATCCTGGAATCGAAACATAATAAGTTATAGTTTTTGCCATCATCAAAGAAACAAGCCTCCTTGTTCATATTGCAATTATTACCTTAAAGCTTTCCATTTGAGATGTTTTACCAGACTTCTTCACTTTTTCATTCGCCCATTGAAGAATGTCTGCGTCGGTTATCTCTTTACCTTCACTAGAGTGAGATCTCAAGTTTCTCAACAGTTGAAGCATACTGAACCTCATAAGCTGCCATAAATATGCTACTCGAAACAAGGACAAGTGAAGAAATAAATAATCATGAATTAAGTATGGTGGAGAGACCATAAATAACAAACAAATTTAGGGTGGGGGAGGTGAAGGAAGGCAAAAACCTATAATAAGCTTCTTGTTTCCTTGAACAATGTCATTCCCAGCTACATTCACAAGTGAGAAATGCATGTCCTTTCCAATTTGTATGACTTGGTTACAGTTTTCAACTTTTCTAAACGGCATCTTTATGGGAGGCTTAGTAGCCAACTTCCAGTTAACTGATCCAGGAGAGACTTTGTCGAGTACTTCCAAAAGAATCCATCTATAATGAGAAAATTAGTTAAATCAATTGGATCACATTAACAAGGAACACTACTGCAATATAATAATTGATAGCTCTACCCATTTCTAACATCCTCAAAGACATTGTTGCAATGTGTAGGAATCCCAAGACTGTTGATCCATAACCGGAAGCATCTCTCTTCTCGAGAAGTTTGATCATCATCCTCCATCATCTCGGCATATGACACTTTTGTGGTGTCGGTAGCAGTCAATCCATTTCTGGCCAAGTATAAGAAAAAAATGAGTTCATAAACAACACATTGTAATAGAATGAAAAAAGCATTAGAGGTCTTATCTAATCAATATGTCCATTTACCTATGTTGGAAAATTTCTGCAACGAATGCAAGATTGAGATTAGCTGATCCTTCAACAATGTCTGAGGGAGTGAGGTATTTGCTACACTCTAATTTTTCTGCTTGTTCAATAACCATATTTGCCCTCTCTTTGGGGTCCATATCTTGTAAGGAATCTGGGGTACTGAGCTCTGGTGCAAGAGCCGTAAGGAGGTAAGCATAAGCCTCTCCATCCTGAAAATATCCAATGTTATGACCATTATAAAACACAATACTGATCATAAAATAAATATATCACGACTCTTTGATTATAATTTACCTTCACATCTGAAGAAAAGTTTGTAACTTGCTTAGTATATCCAGCCTTTTTTAGATGGAAGTTCATCCATTTTAATAGAACTTTCTCGGGAGCTAAGTTCCTAAGCTCTTCCACTTCCTGCATATTTCATACCACAATGTGAGAAAATAAATAGACATTCGTTGTTTTCATCCGAAGGCACACGTTCTGCTAATTTTTCACCTCATTGTCGTCAATCAATTCAACAAGTTCTGGGGTATTCTTAAGATTCACATCAGCCAATAGTTGAATCTAAAATCCAAAAAAAAAATTATATTAAACTAATAACCATAGCTAACCACCATATATTATATAAATATAAGTTACAAGTCCTCTTGTTTTTGTACCTTAACGATTTGGGAAATCAATCCAAGCACCAAATGAGGCTGAAAATGAGAAAGAAATAAGAACACCATAACAGTTCAAATCATTGCTAGAGTGTTATTAAGTAAATAACCAAGGGCTTACTCTAGATTCAACGAGATCCTGAGTACCGATATTGACAACAGTACATCCAATAGCCTTAGCCGAATTAAGGCATAATGTATGATTTTCATTTCTCTCCCATGGATTAAGAGACTTTTTAGTATTGATAGCTCGCTCGTCTATCGTGTTAGGGACAGCCACATTGATTAGCTTACTGCATGATCATCATCATCGACATAAGGCAAACATAACTAAGACGCAATAAATAAAACAACATTGTTAGACAACAATCATACACAAACTAATTACCATAGGAGGACACCATCTTTTATTAGATCAAACAAGGCATTCGTTGAGGGATCAATGGGGAGGTAGTCCTTCAAGAACTTATCCTCTCCTAGGTGCTTATTAATGTGTTGAACATAAGAGTTCTTCTCAGATTCATTAATATTGTGGTGGAAAGTTGTTGTGGAGGCCTTGAGGAATGAGGATGAACCTGCCAATTTTTTTCCTGATGATTTTGATTTTATCGATGCACGTCCATGCAAGTTTAGATATGCCTGTGCGGGGTTTGGGAAACAAAAATAAAAAATAATCAAACAATGATTCTTCTAACTAAGTAAAATTAAACTAATCAAAGCTAGTTCCTCACTACTCACCCTAAGGAATGATTCGAAATCAATCTCTTCATCCATGTTCGAAGTTGATTCTTGAAGCATAGCACTGATATCATTCTCACTGAAGACATCGATAAAGGCCTTAAGTCTGGAGAACAGGGCTGGCATATCTCCCACTGTAACCCGACCAGACTGCGTTCGCACTGATACATACTGTCAATCATAAAACCAAAGCACACACATCAATGTCAAAATCTAAAATCTTTGTCGAAATATTCGAATTTCAAGCCTAGCTAGCATCAAAATTCATATGAAAAGGTTTTCACCTTGGATTTGAGGGTGCGTAGCTGGACTTGGGTGAACTGACTCTGTAGCCATGGATCAGAAACAAGTACACCCTCAAAACTGGACATGGTATCCTAGAAAATAAATCAAAATATATAGCCACCTGCAGGAATGACGTGCATTTTGATCGAAACACAATCGTTGTTTAGGACTTTTGACAAACACAAAATGTGTGATCTTCTCTTACACTGAAGAAGGACTAACGAGGGGAAGGAAAAATCATACCGTGTTAAATATTATCTGAATCCACGTAAGGTAATCCAGCTAAAAACAACAGACTTAGGGGATGAGAGAGTTCTGGCAAACAAGACGAAGCTGTTTGGAAGAGGATTTCGAATAGGAAAGGAAGAGATGATCAAAATGTGAAATGTGTACGTCTAAGAATTTGGTAGTAAGAGAGAGAAGATGAGAGGGAAAAATTTGTGCCGTAATAGAATAAATTAAGAGTGTGGAAAGGGAGAAAGGTAGGAAGGAGAGAAAAGCGTGTTGCCTGTAAAGAAGCGCGAAGGCACAGGCGAAAGAAAGGAAAACAGTAGTGACTCTGAAAATAGGAATATTTTGTCAAGAATTTTTTAGTTCCAATATGTCATATGGAAAATTACTATTGGTGAGTTTTAATTGCTTTCATTTTAATTTTTAATGACCATTAACACTTACCAAAATAGGGAGAAAAAATAAGAAACAAAAATTTGAAGTGATGGAATATAATGCAAGAAGTTTCTTTTTTCTTTATCATTTCTTTGGATATAATGGAAATTGGGTTTAAAAATTAGGTTATGATTTTAATCTCTTATAAATTAGGGTATAGTACTATATTCAAATTTCCGTTAATTCAAAATGTACCACACTTAACCTCCAGATTATGAATTGATTGGATTTTGGGTATGGTACAATATTAAAACCATTAATGCGTAAACCACATACTAATCTTATCACGAAGCAACTGAGGCATATGAATTTTTTTTAGTTCCAACCATGCAACTACTACCCTAACAACTAACAAGTAATTACAATTTATTACAACCGTGGCAGTCCATGTACCCCTACTTAGATTGTTTGAAACATTATCTAGCAATTGGTTTTTGGTTAAAACTACGATTTATAATTAACACGATTTGACAAGTGAATGGTTTGAACACTAATTGACGCTTCACCAGGGTGTTGCTCTCCCTAGCTAACAATCATGGTTTGGCGGATCGAATGAAAATTTGTGGTAAAGCTAGTTGTAAGCCATATGGAAGTGCAACAAGTGAACAACCGTCCCTCCCTCGGTCTCTATGCCAAGGGATATCAAATAAAGCACCAAGGTAACTCTCTTGTCCCAATCGACTAAGGGTTGCCTACTTCACCCTTGAACTATAGTTCGGACGACCAAATTACAACCTAACAAAGGTGCTAATACGCATTAAGAGGTTTGCCCTAATTCAACCTAGGTAGGTGACACAATTAGCCAAGGAATTCCAACTTTCACAAGCCTCTTAACAAGAAGGGGATTTCCCTCTACCTAGGTCAAAATGGCATGAGAGTTGGAAATGCAAGAACACACACAATCTTCATGAAAATACCTCATAACTTGTATTAAAACATTCACATAATTGTACCTAGGGTTTAAAAACACCCAAGTGAAAGAAAGGTATACTCCATGCTAAGTAAAGGGAAAACACAAGGGAGAAGAGAGAAAACCATCTCAGAGATGTTTTCCTTTTTCCTTGTGGTGTGGATATCAACCGTGGAGGAAGAACTTCCCAAAACCTAGCTCTTGGATGAAACCCTAACTTCTCTTCTCCTCTTGTTCATCACTTTCTCACTCTAGAATCTGAAGAAGAAGAAGAAGAAGTATCTCTGACTAAGTTCCTCCCCTCTTTTCTCTTTCGGCTCAGTCCCCTTTATATACCCAGAATGACGGCGTTTCACGATCTCATTTCACAGCCATGGAAATCTGGCCCGGACCGTGATGTTTAGCAAAAACGGGTCGTTTCATTAAGGGGGTTCATGGTCTGGAGTTGGTCTTCACGGTCGAGTGACCCTGAACTGGTTTATGCCCGTGAGATGGACAAACACTTCTGGACTCCCCTCTCTTCACTATCGATACCTCCTCTTCACGGTCTAGATGACCATGAACTGCTGGCCTCCATCGTGATCTGCTACCGTTGCTCCCTTTTGACCGGTTTCCGCCCCCTTTCGTCCAACTTTCGTTCCATGGGTTCATTTCACCTGCTAGGATCTGAAACATACTAAAAAAACCACACCCTAGAACCAAACCTCACGAAGTAAAAGTACCTCAAACATCTAAGGATAAATGGAGTAAAAAGTGTACAAATAGACCCGAATCACTCCCCACACTTAGACGTTTGCTTGTCCCCAAGCAAACCAAAGCAACACAGTGTAATATCTCAACCTAACAAGATAACTTGGGGGACACATCAAAGGACTCAAAGCGGGTGAATCTCAATTGCTATTGAGCATCAACACATGAACCGTTACAAGCAATACCGACACACACCACAAACGACATTCTAATACATTGAGAACGTGGAAATTAAAAGTTCTCACTTTGTTCACCAATCAATACAAGTCTCGACAAGACTACTCACCAACCACAAATAACCATGCATAGAGTTCAAGTCCAAGGAACAAACGAATTGGCAACATAGGTCCTCATCGGTGTAAGATATGAACATGCAAAACATGAATGAATCACTCACTCTCAACCTGTGGGGTTAGGACCATTTGGTACAAACGATGTGCACAATCATCAACACTCAACCCTATCATCTCTTCACTACGAGGACAACCTCTAAATGCTAGAGTTCACTTGGTGGTTGTCATCACTAGCTTTTTCGGAGGTCTTAGACACGGTTTCAAATGACGGACAAGGGTCTTGGACATGGGGAAAAGGCCTTTTGGGGGGTGGCAAAGATAGCATGAGGTTCCACATCTTCACCTAAATCCAACACAAGGTCCTATGGTTTTAATTTGGACCTTCTCCTACAAGAAACGACCACTAGCAACGGCCAAAAACCACACTTTCTTTCTTCCAAACCATCACCAAACATGAACTATATTCAAGCACACTTCCTCAATTCTAAACCACAATCAATCCTGAACGACATTCTGATTTAGGCCTAAATGTACACTTTTCATCCCCATTTCTCTTTGGCGTTTGTGGCATTTGAGATCCTATAAAGGGTGGTTTTACGCTAGGTTTCTTGTGTTTCAATATGTTTCAGAGTCTAACAGGTGAAACCAACCCCCAGAGTTGAATGTTGGAAGAAAAGGTGCAAAGACTGGGCAAAGAGGAGGATCCAGCCGCAGTTCACGATCAGAGCTTGGAGTTCATGATCACCAGGACCGTAAACTAGAACCACAAACCGTGAACCACAGAGCGTCCAGAGGCAGTTTCAGAGGTTACATGGCAAGAGGAAATCCACTAGCACCCGCCAAAAACCACACTTCCCTTCTTCCAAACCACTACCAATCACGAACTACATTCAAGCACACTTCTTCAGCCTATCTTGCTATTCACGTTTCAAACCTAGTAGTGAAGGAGGACATCAAACAATTTAGGTGTTTCAATGGCTTGAGTGCCAAGAAACCCTTTCTAGATTATACACTTAGACTTTTGTGGCCAGTCTCTACTTTTATTTACCCCGTTTTATTACCTCTTTTTCGTTTCTTTTTGTTTCTTTTGCTCTTTTTTTTTTCTTTTTCGAGGGAGGTACTAGAGAATGCAACACATGCCAACTATCCTTAAACGAACAATGCTCGTCAAGAAACCCACAGTTCCCTTCTTCCAAACCACTACCAATCATGAACTACATTCAAGCACACTTCTTCGGCCTATCTTGCTATTCACATTTCAAACCTAGTAGTGAATGAGGTCATCAAACAATTTAGGTGTTTCAATGGCTTGAGTGCCAAGAAACCCTTTCTATAGCATACACTTAGACTTTTTTGGCCAATCTCTACTTTTGTTCACCCCGTTTTATTACCTTTTTCGTTTCTTCTCTTTCTTTTGCTCTTTCTTTTTTTTTTCTTTTTCGAGGGAGGTAATAGAGAATGCAACACATGCCACCTATCCTTACAAGAACAATGCTCTCCATTAAGAAATTTCCTTCAACACTGCCTTCTCATTTCTTGCAAGAACCGTGCATACTATGTAGAACCTCAATTTAGTTCAAAAGCGAGAATTCTGAGACACCAGGATGACTCACACTTTGATAGAAGAAAGGATGGGGGTCGCTCTTTAAATCACCAGTAAGCTGAAAAAGCACAAACTCCTAGCATTAGAACGACCCCAAAGTCACAAGGCTCAAAGGGGAACTTCGGCCCGTTATCTTGAAAAGATTGTTTGGTTTTAATCTAGCTTTTATTTTCAATTTTTCTAAATGTGGATTTTGCTTGTGCTAGACGTGTGGTTGTTCTTTAAGTGTGTGAATGGAGGTGAATGATCCGCAACAATCTGATGCCTTTAACAGCACTAGACGAGAACATCAACCTAACTCTCAGACTTTTGGCTCCTCAGAGGGAGTTAGCGGAAGCAAGAAAGAGAATTGAGGAGAGGGGACAACAAGTTGGTCCCTGATTTGGAGGAATTGAAGTAGAAGTTGAAGTTGAGATGACAGGGAATCAACATCGAGGTGCTAATCCGCTCCAGAACCAAATTGAGGAAGCGAGATCCGAGGAAGAACCAAGAACTATGGGCTATTACATGGCCCCACAGGTGGCGGATATCCAATCTCCCATCCTACATCCACCCGTGGCTGCCAACAACTTTGAAATCAAGCCTGCTCTCGTCACGATGATTCAAAAAAACGCCTTATTCCATGGGCTTTCCAATGAATCACCGCGAGAGCATGTTCAAAGGTTTCTTGAGCTTGTGAGAAGCCTGAAGATAAATGGCGTCCCCGAGGAGGCATTTCAATTGAGGCTATTCCCCTAATCTCCTACGGGGAAGGCGCTCCGATGGCTAAACAACCAACCGCTCGATCCATCACCTCTTTGACAATTTGCTCAACAAATTCATGACCCGATATTGTCCTCCTTCCAAGACAGTCGAGTGGAGGAAGAAGATCACTCACTTTGAGAAAGAGGAAGATGAGACGTTTATAGATGCATGAGAAAGATTCTCCGACTACTTCCACCAATGCCCTCACCATTGCTTCGAGGAGCAATTTTGGATAAAGACTTTCTATGGCGTTCTCTTTCAAGAAGACAAGATTCTCATCGACTCTCTTTGCCATGGGAAGTTGATGAACATGACTCCACCTCAAGTGACCGAGATGCTCGAAGACATGGCTCTCAAAGGATATGATTGGGGCTTGACAAGGAGTGGTAAGAGAAACACCAAAATAGGAGTGTGAAGTTTGGGAGCAAGTGCTCCA